AGTATGTGTCTTGCCTCACTCAAAGCGTCGTACGTGTCTGGCACTATCCAACATCACTCAACTCGTGAGATTTCAGTATGTAGCTATCCCCACGCAGCGCGTATCTATGTGTCTGGCGAACTCCAATACAAATCACCTGTGAGGTTTCAGTATGTGTCTTGCCTCACTCAAAGCGTCGTACGTGTCTGGCACTATCCAACATCACTCAACTCGTGAGATTTCAGTATGTAGCTATCCCCACGCAGCGCGTATCTATGTGTCTGGCGAACTCCAATACAAATCACCTGTGAGGTTTCAGTATGTGTCTTGCCTCACTCAAAGCGTCGTACGTGTCTGGCACTATCCAACATCACTCAACTCGTGAGATTTCAGTATGTAGCTATCCCCACGCAGCGCGTATCTATGTGTCTGGCGAACTCCAATACAAATCACCTGTGAGGTTTCAGTATGTGTCTTTCCTCACTCAAAGCGTCTATGTGTTTGGCACTATCCAACATCACTCAACTCGTGAGATTTCAGTATGTAGCTATCCCCACGCAGCGCGTATCTATGTGTCTGGCGAACTCCAATACAAATCACCTGTGAGGTTTCAGTATGTGTCTTTCCTCACTCAAAGCGTCTATGTGTTTGGCACTATCCAACATCACTCAACTCGTGAGATTTCAGTATGTAGCTATCCCCACGCAGCGCGTATCTATGTGTCTGGCGAACTCCAATACAAATCACCTGTGAGGTTTCAGTATGTGTCTTTCCTCACTCAAAGCGTCTATGTGTTTGGCACTATCCAACATCACTCAACTCGGGGTCAGTATGTTGCTATCCCCACGCAGCGCGTCTAGATGTGTCTGGCAAACTCCACTACAAATTAATTACCTGTGTGGTTTCAGTAGACTGTGTGCCTTTCCTCACTCAAAGCGTCTATATGTCTGGCACTATCCAACATCACTCAACTCGTGAGGGGTCAGTATGTAGCTATCCCCACGCAGCGCGTCTATGTGTCTGGCAAACTCAAAAATCAATCCATCTGCGAGGTTTAAGTATGTAGCTATCCCCACTCAACACGTCCAGGTGCCCGGCAATCTCCAATACAAATCACCTGTGAGGTTTCAGTATGTGTCTGTCCTCACTCGAAGTGTCTGTGTCCGGGACTATCCAACATCACTCAACTCGTGAGGTTTCATTATGTAGCTATCTCCACTCGAAGCGTCCATGTGGTGTCTGGCAAACTCAA